GATTTCTACCCAGAACTTTGCAAATTCCACTCCTCTAGGTGACCTTGGGACCAGGGCCAGGCCTAGAGTTTAACAGGCAGCTTTGGCTCCACATTACAAGACAGTTTAGTAGCAGGGTGTACTAAATTGTGGTATGTGTTTGAACTCATATGGTCACACTCTTGATAACTTATTTTTATATATTTGTGATCTCTGCATATCATATGTACAGATTAATATAGACGTAGATCTGGGAATCGCCTTTCATGTAATTGCATCTAAAATGTTTGTATGTTTAGGGCATTACAGCTTTTCATATTTCTCGGGTTTATTTTTCCAAGTTGTTTGTCTTTGTATTTTGTTAATTTTTTTCTTAGATAAATAAAAGTAAAAAATATCCAAAATATGCCTATCTTTTTTTCCTGGAACTTTACATCTTTTTAAACCTTCAAAATTACATTCCACATGGAAGTATGAAATACCTAATTATTTGTAACCCTTGTTATGGCTTGTGTTTAAATGTCCCCCCAATGGAAGCCAGGTGTGGTGGCTCATGCCTGTAATCCCAGCACTCGGGAGGCTGAGGTGGGAGGATTGTTGCAAGTTCGAGACCAGCCTGGGCTACAAAGTGAGCTCAAGGCCAGCCTGCACTGCATAGCGAGACCCCGTCCGTCTCAAAAAAGACAAAAATAAAAAATAAATAAATGACCCCTCAAAGCCTCAAGCAGTCATAGGGGGTGGGCCTTTCAAAGGTGCCCAAATCCAGCATTTGTGACTGGCTCCTTGTCTGGTGCCGGGATTGGTGGTGTGCATTCTGTACCTGTCCAGGGGATAAAATATAATTAACTGGCATATAATATAAAGGAGGGCAGGAGGTCTGCTTTTCCCTTTTGCCCTTTTTGCTCTTGTTGGTAGTGGCCACCACGAACGGCACCTCTTAGCCACAATGAGTGGCCAGCTGAGTGTGGACTGAAACTTCCAAAAACTGTAGGCTCAATACACCTTCCCTTCCTTCCTTTTGGGCATCAAGTATTTTGTCTCAGCAGCTAGCAAAAAATAACCAAGGCAACCCTGTTAGTTTTGTAAAAAACTTCAAAAGTAATTTCTTGCTCTATTAGGAATTTATGTAAGTTCTGAGGTAAAGAGCTCCCCATCCTGGGGAAATGAGAAGCCTCTGGTGTGGCCAGAGAGGAACTAATACTCTTCCTGGGTAGAGGTGGCATTAGACAGCCCTAGGCAGGCTTGGCCCATTAAAAGCAGACTTGAGCTGGACTTGAATCCGGGGATCTCTGCTCTGGGGTGGTGTAATAGACCAAATAGTATCACTCCAAACTTCATATATAGGAATCCCAATCTTCAATACCTGAGAATGTAACTGTATTTGGAGATTAATTCTTAAAGGTACAATGAGCTGTTAGAGTGGGACCCTAATCTAGCACAAGTATTGCCTCTGTGGGAAGAGAGTGGGTAACCTATTGAGGAAGACCAGACCAGGGAGAATACAGCCATCAGCAGACAAGGAGAGAGACCTCAGAAGAACCCAGCTCTCCTGAGACCTTGATCTTGGACTTCTAGCCCCCAGGCCTGGGAGAAAACAAATCTTTGTTGTTTAAGCTGCTCAGCGTGTGGTCCTATGCTAAACAGTTCAAAAACCAACATGGGAAGGCTCTTTGCTGAATGCCTCCAGGCTCCCATCATGGTCTGCTTGTATGACCAAACTAAGATAATGATAGTAATTTTTAAAAATTATCTTAAAATTGTGTTTAAGACACATGCATTAGAGAAAAATCAGAACACACTGATAAAAATTAAGATCTCCTGGGCCATTAGTTCTCCCACAGGTCCAAAATCATAGTGGCTGTGTCCCTTGCAGAGGACGCCTCCCAGTGAGGTCTCCTGGGGTCAGAGGAACACCTATCTCTTCCGGACAGGGCTCTGAGGCAGCGGGCTAGGGAGGCCACAGCAATGCCCAGTCAGCCAGAAGACTCCCCTTCCTCACATTCTCACGCAGCTGGCCAGGAGTTCCAAGGCTGGCAGTTCTGTGGGGCTGGAACCCCATCTGCCTACACCCCATGGGGAACAGGTACCCTGGTACAGCCCTCAGTTTGACTGGAGGGCACCACAGAACCTCAGAAGGTGGGCAGGAGGAAAGGACCAATGGTGCCTGGATAGCTCAGAGGTAGACAGTCTAGGGTCTCTTCCCAACACACACATTTACATATCCTTTGGCCTTATGCAAACCAGTTCCTCTCCCCGAAGGCCTTTCCTTTACACCTTACGATTTCTTACTGAAATCCCGCTTCTCTTTCCCAGCTCAGCTCAAAGCCACTTCTGGGAAGCCTTCCTTGACTACCTCTTAGCCAAACAAAAGGGGTATTTTCTGAGTCTACACTTTCCTAGCTGCCCCATGTGTAGGTGACACTGGTCACACGATGTCTAGAGTTACAATGCACACATCACCTGCTCCCAGAAGCAGGCTCCTGGTTGGTTCATTTCTGCATTCTCCCTTACCTGCACCTAGCGCAGAGAAGTTCCGAGTAGAATTTGATCTTTAGGTATAAAATCATGACTTCTTTACAACAGAAAAGCCATCATGGTAAAAGTCAGATTTGTCATTTAGAAAAACTTGTACACAGTGCATAAAACTTATTCCTCACAGCACTGAGAGAAACATTATGAGGTTTGTCTCTTTTTCTTTTTGTCTTTTTGAGACAAGGTTTCACTATGCAGTTCAGGCTGGCCTTGAGCTTACTTTGTAGCCCAGACTGGTCTCAAACTCCCAACGATCCTCCTGCCTCAGCCCCCCGAGTGCTGGGATTAGAGGCATGAGCCACCACGCCCAGCTCTAAGGTTTGTAAACATTATACAGGTGCAGAAATCAAGGATTCTAGAAGTAATGAGACTGCCTAAAACAGCAAACTGACCTTCAAGAGCTGGAGGTGAGGCTTACAGTAGGTGTGTTTGGAAGCTTTACGCTTGGCCCGTAGCAGCCATGAGGTATCCCTACACCCCGCACCTGTTGCAGGGCCTGGCTCCAGTGGAGTCTGAGGCTAACACCTCACACTTCAGACCTCAGTGTCCCCTTCAGCCCCTCTGTGACTGTTGCTTAGTGCAGAGGGACTGCCAGAGGCCGCCTGAGTGTACTCAGGGTTGGCACTTGCATGCCCTCAGCCAAGGAGCATGCCCTTACTCCACTCAGCCATCAGATAGGGCTGCACCTGCCTCAGTTACCCCACATGTGGTGCCCTCTTTCTCAGGAGGGGACAGAACACCAGGAGCAAGAGCTATGTTGTCAGGGACAGAAGTTCTGCCTTGTATCACCAGTGCTCAGTGGTCTGGGGTCCAATTGCAGTTCTAAAGTAAGCTGCTTCTCTTTGAAGCTTGTGCACTAAGAGCTTGAGAAGAAGGCCCCGGGCTCTGCCACAGTTCTCTTGCCTTGCTCTGTCCCCCAGGAGTCACCGTCATCACCATCCATCGCAGAAATGAATGGAGGCCATGCAGCTGCTTTATTAAATATGAATGAGTCGCAGTCCATGGCCCCCACGCGGTCACTTGCCCACTCCATCTCTGGCAATTACTGAGTTGCACACACTGTGCCAAGAGGCGCAGTGGTCCCTGCCTGCCCTTGCAGACTGACACTGCCCGGCAGGGGCAGGACTCAGGTCTGCAGCAAGCCTGCCCTCTAATGAAAAGACATCGCTGGGCTCCTCTGCAGCCACATCACTCAATTCTGAAAGCAAGATGCTCTGATGTAGGGCATCTTCCACAGAAGGGCTGCAGCTCTTGGGCTCTGAGCTCTGCTATGGAGCCTGAAGGCATGCATCCTGGAGTGAGTGGCTTCTTAAACTTGTCTGCACCCAAACATTTCAGGTTCTAGGAAGTTCAGCCTGAGTCATGTTACATGGGCTTTTTCTTTGTGGGGGGGTGTCTTTTTGAGACAAGTTCTCTCTAGGAAGTTCAGGCTGGCCTTGAACTCCCTTTGTAGCCCAGGCTGGCCTTGAACTCAGAGCAATCCTCCTGCCTCAGCCTCCAGAGTGCTGGGATTATACGTGTGGTACAACCATGCCCGCCTGCATGTGCTAGTCTGAGCCTTACAACACCCACCAGATTGTAGGCTGACATTAGGGCTCTAGCTCACCCCATCACTGACTGCTCTAACTAGCATTGGCAGGGACACAGTGCATGCTATTTGGTGAATAGCTATATGAGGTAGGTATCACCATTCCAGAACTAAAGATGTTGAGGTGGGGAGACCCCTCAAGGGTGAGCTCTTCTTCTCCTGCTCTGCCCAGAGTCCAGCACTGTAGTACATCACTGGATGCACAGGTTTTCTGACCTTGATTTAATTAGGAGCCATCAGACCCCCCCCCCAACTCTACAGGGTTTACTCAACTACTGAAAGACCGCCCATGAACTAATAAAAGCAAACCAGATCAAACTCTTTTTCTGAACTTAAAAAAATTACTTTTATTTTAGGAACCAATAAAATTATGGCCAATATTTACAAATAATTATCTCACATAAAGGTTACATAAAATCAGTTCTTCACAAGTTAACAGTCACTCATGAAAAGACACACGGATATTGAAACTACTCCAATCTTATTGCATTTTTATCCAACTAATCTAAAATAAAGGTGTTGCAGCCAACCATTTAACTTAAAATAAGACCACAAATTTCAGGTTTGACAAGAAAAAAAAAGCTTAAAAAAATTAAACCCATACCCCACCCCAGTATCCCCCCAGCCCCACCCCACCCTTGCCCTCCTCCCAACAAAAGAAAAATATGTCCAACATCTTTGGCAAATTGGCACAGCTGTAATTACATTCAAATATTATTACACACAAAAGCAACACACATCACTAAGAAAAAAAACCACCAATATTTCAAGTCAGTTATTTTCTACTAGAAAAAAAGAATACAAAACATACACATTTTTAAGAAGCATTTGTTTTCAATCTGTTGGAGACAGATCATCTCCCACTTTCAAAGGCAATTCAATTGTGGTTTTTTTTTGTTAGTTTTTGTACTTTTTTTTTTTTTTTACAAGTAAGCGTTTATGCAGGCATCACAAACTTTGGCGGATACAGTAGATATGTATTTCTTTGATGCTGGAAATTCGGTTCCTAAGACAAAATCAACTGTCTCAAAGCATAAAAAGCAAAATTCATGTTTTCCTAGCAGAGAGTTCCATTTCCAAAGAATCTGCATTTCTACAAATACTCAATGTCCAAAGGCCACTAAAGGGTGAAAAACCAGGGCAGCATCTTCCAGCAGGCGTCAGGGCCAAGCCAGACTCAGAATTCTAACCTCAGCCTGACCTCGGAGGCCCTGCAGTTGGGCTGAGACGTGGGGCCAGGCCCTCACTGCCCGCTACCTACACTGTGCTGGTGGCTTAGGGCCGGGTCCCAGGTCTGCCTCTTCCTGAGCCCCAGGACAGGCTGCTGCCAGGTCTGCTCACTTTCCGTGACCAAAGGTAAGGACAGCAGGCAAGAATTGGCATGAGGAGACTCAGCGCTTTTTCTGAGTTTCAAGTAAATCTGAGGCGTAGGTGTGTGTGCCTTGTACACACACTCACGTGCACACGCTGTGAGGGGGAAGACCAAATTCTGAGGCTCTGAGCTTTGCGGGATGTGACTTGAGATTTATTTATTTTCTTTTTAGCTTGCTAGCAATTAATTGGCTATTGATTGGTTGGAATGTTCAACTCTCCATTTCCTCAAATACAATAAAATAGTTTCATTAAAATGTATTCATGCTTGAAAATAAGGGAGCCATTAAATGGTTTCCTTTCTGTTCCACTCCAAGGGAAATGCACCGTTTGAAAATCAAAAATCCATCATCAAAAATCACTTGTTCTTAATGGTGCTTTTTGGAGAAGATGTGGCCACAGGCATAGTGATTTGGGGGACATGGGAGGCGCAGCAGCCACAGCCTCAGGGTCAGCAGAACCAGACCGGGACTGGTAAGGCCACAGTGTGGCTTCCCCTAGCCACTCTCAGGGCTAGGGGAAGCTCAGGGCCAGGGAGAGGAACACAGAACCGTAAAGTCCCCTCCCCTTGATACCCCTGCTTTCTCCCTGTCCCATGAGTGCAGCCGCCCTCTGTCTCTCCTGCTGCAGGCCAAGGCCTCGCCTGAGCTGGCTCCACTCAGGAACTGTACAGAGAAAGGCAGGTGCGTTTGCTCTGCGAGCGCTCATGAGGGATAAGAATGCCTACATTTCCTGCAGGGTGGCTGTGTTTACTTCACCTGGAGATGAGCTAAACGGGACTCCCTGGACTGAGACTCTCCAACAGCAGTAACGTGATTCTGAGGTCCCCTTCAATCCTTGGGGCATCCAGGAATAAGACCCAAGTGCCCAGGAAATACCAGAGAATAAAAAGGAAGACTGGTGTCTGCCTCTTCCCAGACAGCAGCCCGCTCGCTGCAGAGAAGCTGCAGCCTCATCAGATGCACATGCGCAAGGGACTCACTGTGTCCTTGGAAGCCAGCCCCTGGGGACCCGGTTGCCACTTGAGGTGCAGCTGGACCTGACAGCACAGAAGTGTGGATCAACACTGTATCTCCCCCATGAATATGCAAAAGGGAATCCTGAGGTCTGGGTGCAACAGGGGACAAGGAGCTAAAGGCCTGCCGCTGCCGGGAGGTGGGGCAGCTTGCGGGCCAGTAGTCGTGGCCCGACTGTCCAACGTTCCAGTCCTGTATTTTGTTATCTTTTAAGAAATGCACTTGTCTTGGACTTCTCTGAGGTCAAAGCACTAAAGGGATAAATTCGCCAGGACACCAGTGTGTGTGCCGGAGACCGTCAGAGGCAAGCTCCAGACTGGTGACAAGGCCAGGCCTCATGTCAGCAGGGGTGGGGAGGAGCTGAGCAAGCCCAGAGTCCTGTGGGCTTGACTCGCTCTAGCCCAGACCTGGCTGATCCAGGGGCCTGCTGTGATGCTGTATCCCCACAGAGCCTGTTTCCAGGTGTATATCTGGGGCGCTTGGTTTGTTTTTAAGATTTGCTCTCCATGGCTTGGAGCTCAATTCTAGCTGAAATGTCATCCATGAGGGGGTGGCTGGAAGCCAAGCCTGCCAAAGCAAGCCAGTCACCCTGAAGTGTGACTCTTCACAAAGAGATTTCACCCCTCAGTGCCCTGAGGCCACATCTGAGGGTCTAGGGAAAGGACTCTGGCAGCACTGACTTCCTTTAAGAGTCAATGGTTACCCCAACCCACCACCTCTGCTGTTCACCACCCAGTAAGCCTTAAAGCCCAGACACTTGGCAGAATCCCTCCAGGAGGGCCAGGAGGGCAGTGGGGCCAGTTTTGCCTGTTTCTGGACTGACTCCCTAGACAGCCAGATGCACATCTCCCTTTTCTAGGGCCGCATCTCCTCCAAATCTGCAACAAAGGACAACGAGGTGAGAAGAAAGGAAACATCCCACAGTGATGGCTGGTGGTGTCATAAACTGGTGGCTATCAGGTCACATGCAGCCAATAGACTTATTTTCTTTTTAGTTGATGTCATTTTCACTTAAACCCACTTCTGGGTGTCTCAGGCCCCACCATGCAATGCTGCCTCATGCCCTACCCAAGGGGCAGGGTGGCACTACCTGCCTGGTTGGGAAGCAGGTCAGAGCCCTTGAGGCTGCAGTTTCTGTTTCCTGTGGACACCTGTGGATGTTCTGAAGACTTAGCTCAGCCACTCTCCTATGTTGTCACAGTCTGTTCCAAAGGGGAAAGGGCAGAGAAAAGAGGGGTGAGGGGACAGCTTATGACCCTGGCACTCTGCACTCTGGGAGGCAGAGCCAGGCCATATCTGGGTCCTTCAGCAGTCATGGTGGAGATCTGGACAGGCTCTGACCCCCCTGAGCTCCAGGATGCAGGAGAAAGAGTGTACGAACAACAGTTTCGGGTGTTGGTGGGAATTTGAGCAAAGACTGCAGGCCTCAGTGTAAAGGAGAATCCAGCTGGACTACAGAGCCACCACGCCCAGGTCCTATCATTCAGCCAGCCTCTGGGTCCCTTGTTTGTTCTTTTTTCACTGGGGATCTGGGGATTTCTGGAGGACTGAGGGTGGGCGTCTCTGAGCCATATACTCTCATGACAGGAACACAGATCTTGGGGTGTGGAGTGGTGGCAGAATTGAGCCTGGAGATCTGCAAATTCACTTAACCTCTGTCTCATCTGGTGGACTTCAAATCTCCTCATCTGTAAAATGGGTATCATGACCTCTGCCCCATGAGTTGGTGGAAGGAATTACAAAGCATTAGCCAATGAAAGTGCTAACCCCAATCAGGGTGCCCTGGAAAAGGGATGGCGGCTTTGATATGTCTTCAAATTTTTTAATGTTGGAGCTACACAACTGTTATGAAAATACCTTTTTCAAAAAGTCAGAGCTGGAACACAGGCTGAAGGCCGGCGGAGGAATGCCCCCTGGCCGCCCACGATGCTGGTGAAGCCCCAGACTCAGGCTTTTCATTCAGAATTCTCTGGCATCTACTCAACAGCTTGTGCCCTTTGGAACTCTCTTCACTAAGCCCCCAGGCAGCTCTGAGAGCAGGTGTGCATGGGTGAGAACACCCATGTGCATCTGTGTAACCTTGTGCTTCCCATGGTTGGCTAATAAATACAACTCCCGTCTGAGGACAGGCGAAGCCTCAGGCGAGAGAGAAATGGCGTGGAGGGAGCTTGGTATGGGATGAAATCAGGGGTAGGATGGGGAGAGGCCAGTGTGGGGTGGGGTTTGTTGAGCATGGATGGTGTGTGCCTTATGCAGCAGGGTCAAGGGAGGTTGACTTACTCACAACAGCTTGAACACACAAGGAGAAGCCAGGGTTCAAAGATGTGGGTGCACCTCATGCCCAGGGGACAGAGGTCTAAGAACTTGTTCTGGGGATCCCCAGTCCCACCACTTCCTAAGAGAGGAAGGTAGGAGCCAAGGAACATCCTTCTCACACTTGGTCTGCCACATGGAGACCAGAGCCAGGTCATCTCAGCACCCATGGCTGGCTCTGGTGCCAGCTGTCTTCCCTCTTTGCCTAGCAGATTCCACAGGGGTGGTAATCACTCCTCTCTGGGTGACTGTTCTCACAGACCCAGGTCTCCAGGCTGGAACCCTGGGCCCGGAACCTCCTCCACTACCCTCACTGTCAACTTCTCTCCCAGGAACAGGAGCTAAAAGGGCAGAGGGTGATCATCACGTGTCAGAAGGCAGGGGCCCAGTCCCAGCTCCGTCTGTGTCAAATCACTGCTTAGACACCCCACTTTGCTGAGCCTTGGTATTCTTTCCCACCTTCCTATCCTGTGAGAATGTGAGAATCAACATACTTGAAGATAACCAGAGAGACCTGATTTCTCTCCCTGCACAGTCCTGGCCTTCCCCAAGCTGGGCCTCAGTTTTCTCTAGTGGCACTGGACTAGGCGTTTGCTTCTGATTCCCACCTCTCAAGGTGTTCTTGTTTCCCACTTAAACCAAACACTAGCGGGATTCCGGGGCCTACTCCTAAAGGCTTGTTCAGAAGTGGAAAGTCTTCTCCAGATTGATCTGTCCTAGCCCAGCTCTCTGGGAAGAAGAGAGAATGTGGTCTGGTGACTCTGCTGTACCAAAGCAGCTGAGACTCAAACTTAAAGGTTTTTCCAGATATCCTACAATAAAGCAGAGTTATAGCCAGGACAAGAACGACCAGGCCAGATGATCCCAAGGTCAGGCTACCTCTGCCCTAGCTTTCTGCCAAACAGAAGGGACACTGTCACATGAGATGACCAATCCTGTTGTCATTGCTGTGGCTCAGCTCAGGTTTGGATGGGGGCTCCATCAGGTTGTGAGCTGGTAAGAAACCATGCAAGGGACTGAGGTCCTAGGGAAAAAGATGGTGGCACCTGGTACCCCATCTTAAAACCACTAGAAGGTCACACACTCATCCCTCACTGCTCTCCTGTCTCTCCCCTACAGGTCTTCCTCTGTCTCCCCAATCTTCCCAGCTGGCTTCCTCAGAGCAGCCTAGCCCACACTGAGTTCCCCCATGCTCCCTCTCTGAGCTTCTGTGGTCCTTGGCCATAGTCACGACCATTTGGCCCCTAAATCAACAGTTAGGTCTGCACTGTATGAAGTTAAGCAAGTACTCCCAACCCCAGCACCTCTGTGCCCAGCCACAGGCCCAGCTCTACAGGGATGCAGAGAGTTACCCAAGAGGAAGCCCAGGAGTGCTAGTTGACCACGGAGGATGCTGTGGTCCTTGGTACAGAGGAAGATCCAGCTTGCTAATCATTGTCTATGGGACAGATTTGCTTGGAGTTCACTTGCTGGGGTCCTGGAGGATGGGTGAAGTGTCCATGGTGGGTTTCCAAAATAATATGAATCTGGAAAGGCCTCAGAAAACATTCCAGTTCAGTCCAGAGGTTCCAGGGGCTGAGGGGGTCAGGAAAGCCTCATTCCCCTCCCTGGCCTAGATCAGATGATCTTCTGAGCCTACACCGCTGTGACATTCAGAGTCCACAATGCAGTCAACACTTGGATGATGTCTTGCTTTAGAACAGCAGCTGAAGAATCTCTGAGACATTTCTGTTTTGAGTTCTTTGATCTGGGAAAGATCTGCTCACACTGAAGTAGCCCCAAGGAAATGGAGACAAGAAGCCAGGGCATCTCCCCAAAGTGTTTTCTTCCTGCAGGAGTCTCAGGGGCAGCTCATGGCAAAGTCCAGCCAGGGAGACTCGCAGTCAAGACGTTAGAGCAGTAGGGATGAGCAGGAGGCCAGGGCCCACCCTTGGTCTCAAGGATGGCTTCAAGCTCATACGACAGGGGGCACCAGGGCAGAGGGGACATTCTGTGCACAGGCCAAAGATGTCCTGTGATGCACTGTGAGTAGAAGATGCAACATGGGGTGGGCAGTCTGCTAAGTCAGTTTCAGGCCCACAGACAAGCAAAAAGGTATTTACACAGATGCTGCTGAAGTATCAAACGCTGGTTCTCCTCCTCAGCTGCAGTGGCCAAGACACACGGGTGGTCAGGCAGTGGGGGACTGGCAGGCTGAGCTGGGCTGCAGTGGTCTGCAGCATATTCTGTCATTTGCAGAGACCCTGTCACCACTGGAGAAGCTCATCGACTGACTTGAAATGGACAAGGTTCTGTAGTCAGCAGCCCTACCAGAGAACCTGAGTCCCTGGCAGGGAAAGGGGAAGGAGGGAGTTTCAGGTGAATGGAGGAGTTGCTGGGGGATGGTCTTGTTGGACACCCCCGTGGCTGTCTTGGGGGTGCTGGGAGGTTATCTCCCCTAATGATATGTGTCATAAGTGCTTGGCGCCTGCCTGGCTCCGAGGGTCAGTGACGGTCATAGGCAGTGGCAGCTGCAGGTGGGGCAGCTCCTCGGGCAGCGGCACTGTAATAGTAGGGAGAGCCTGGAAGAGAAAAGAGAAGGCTCTGAGGTTGGCCCTGGGACACCCTGCCTAGCAGCCCCCCCTAGCTTTGTCCTTTATGTCCTCTCCCCCAGTTCCACCCTGTCCCCTTTCATCAAATCACTATCTTGATCTGTTACCCAAACTGCAAACCCAATCAAGGCTGCTAGCTGCTCTCAAGACTTTAGGGCTCCTTGCTAGCTGCAGCTGGGCCCAGCAGCCTGGCGCCCTGGGGACCAATCCTCTCAGCTGCCTGTGGTGCTCTTCGGGACACAGCCTTGTCATCCTTGGCCTGGACTGTGACTGCTGTCCTGCTACTGTGGCAGAGCTGAGTGTTTGCAGTAGAGACCACGCGGCTCACAAAGCCTCAACTATTTATCTCCTTAAAAACAAAACCTAGAAGGCCATGAGATGTTTCAGATGTTTGCATGGCTTGCAGGTGCTTTGTGCTTTAGCCCTGGTCAGCCTCTTTTGACTCACCTCGCCCAGCAACCATCCCTGCCAGCCATGCTTCCATACCCAAGTGAAACTGAAGTCTGCAGTGATCTCAAATATACCCTAATGCTAACAGCCGCTGCTGGCTCAGGACCTCTGCACCAGACACTATGTCCACTATGGGCATCACCTAATTTAAACCAAGGAGCAGGGAGAGCTATCTGATCAGACTCTGAGGCCTCTGTGCCTTTTCCGGCCCAGATACCTTCCTGGAATAGCCGCCCAGGTCCCCAGTACCCTTTTCCTGTGTTAATCTACGCTTCCTTCAAGCCTCGGGGTCCTGTTCTCTTTCCTCGAAAAGCCCCCTGCCCTGAGCTTGCACCCCCTGACAGGCGGGGCCATGCCCCAGTTCTTTCTGCACGTCTCCTCCCTAGACAGCGATGGAAAAGGGGAGCCTAGGATCTGCTTTCCTTGGTGCCCATCCTCAGTGCACAGCCTGGAACTTGGCCCTGCTCAGCTGGGGTTTTGACATGAATGAACAATCTTACTGAGTGAGCAGAAAGCAGTGAAGAGCCTTCTTAGCCACCTTGTCCATTAGTTAATTCATCCATGATTCACTCACTGCTCATTTCCAAATCCTGCTGGGTGCAGGGTTGGGCGATCATGGGCGACCATTGGCCTGGCCTGGCGAAGGCTGCCTTTAGGGTCAGGGAGGGGACCTGAATGAACCCTGAGAAATAGCTCTTGGGGACACAGCCTGTTCGAGCATGGCAGCTTCTTCTTAGGGAATGGGGCTGGGCTGAACTCGGACACGGGGAGTCTGGGGTATGTGTGTGTGAGGTAGGAGGGAGGTGCCAGCCTCTTCGGGGTGACCTGGGGACAGAGCTGTGGGAGAGGCCCCCACAGCATTCTGGGTGCTTCCCACTGCCTCTGGACTGCTTTCTGTGACACGCTTTGCATGTGGTACCCCAAAACCCTGCTCCATGCTAAAATTCTTCCCCAGAGATGAGGGAAACGAGGAGACCCAGGGAACCAGATTCTTAGGACCACAGAGGTTGGAGCCACGAGGTAAGGAAACTGCGGTTCGAAGCCACCGAGCCTCTGAGTCGCGGTGGGTTGGCCCCACTCCTGGTCATCTGCCGAGGCTCCAGGCTCTTTTTACCACAATGCAGCTCAAGGCATAGCCAGGCTGGTGGCAGCTGGGGCCCTGTCAGCTCACGGTGGGCCCCGTGTCTGCTGTGTAGAACTAGCAAGCCTCTTAACTCCTTGTTTTTCTGAAACCTCCCCTAAATCCCACAACCTTAGCTGTTCTCACACATCCTGTGAGAGGGGACTGAGACCTGGAATTCACCAGTTAGGCTCCACCACTCTGTGGCTGTGACTTCATACATCTGACTTCACTTCCTTGAGCAGCAGGGGGTCATAGTGGGGACACCCCAAAATAAGGATGTGAAAATGCTGTGGGAATGGCCACTTTTCTAAATATCTTATATCCATCGACTCTTTTACATGTTCAGCACTATCTTATCAAGCAGCGACTATTATGGTCCCATTTTATAGATGGGAAAAGTGAAGAAGAGAGTTAAATAACTTTCCCAGAGTTATACAGCTAGTGTGTAATCATGTGGGGTGCGTTTGGGGCATATTTTAGCCTCCCCTCTAAACCCAGCCCCTATTAGCAGACTCCCCTCTCCACCAGCCTGAGAGTGCAGCCTCAGGCAGCAGGGACAATGGCGAAGTCCTTCTGAAAGGCACGGACACCAATCCCTTGTGCAAGGATTCCGAGAAACCCAGTTTGCCGCTGTCTTCCTCTTTGCCCCCTGGCTGGAGCCCTACCTCAGGGACAGCTAGTGTCTGTCCCTCTGCTTTCTTTGTGGGGTGGAACAGTGCTGAGGCAGGTGCCCACAGACTAGCCATAGCCCAGCCCTGTATCCCGCCTCAGGACGGCCCAGGGGAGAGAGGCATAGAGACGGCCCGCTAGAGGCCAGGGCACTGCACCAGGACAGGAAAAGCACAGAGGCTGCCCTGCAAAGGGGCCACAAGGGGCAGGCGGTGATGGGCAGGCTCTCCAAGCACCCTGGCTGCCCTCCAGCACCCTGCCCTCCAGCCTCAGCTCTGGCGCACTCCTCCCGGAGCGGGCCTCAGTTGAGAGCTTGAATTTACCGTGAAAAATGAAAACATCACCTCACAAAGCACTCTGTCTTTCTGGTGCCACTAGACTTCCATCTCAAATAAACGTGTCCTTTGTTCTGTCATTTTTCCTCTCTAATTCACATTATCATCAATTTACTTCTTGACGCAGTCATTCTGGGCCGGCTCCTGCTCTAATCCCTTTACATGGTGGTGGAGGCGGTGGCCACAGGCGCTGCCTTTCTAATCCTAATTGACCGTTGCTGCCTTTTCTCCCTGCCAACCCTGCCTGCCTTGCCTGTCTCTTCTGCCTCCAACCCTGGCCAGGGGGCAAAACAGCAGAGGACGCTGAGTCACAGCTGCCGCAGCTGGACACATGTGAGGAGAGAGCCTCTCTTGTGAAACCCGCAGGAAACGTCCTTCACTTTCATTTAACAGGACTGCTGGTCAGTCAGTGGGGTGTGAGCAGCGTGTGCCAGGCTAAGTGCCAGCGTGAGAGCATGCATGAGCGTGTGTGTGCTCATGTGCCCACGCTTCCTGTGCTCACAGCCCCACTGGGTCAACAGGGGCATCATGGAGCCCAGGGCAGGTGCCAGATACGCACCACTTCCCACACTGCAGACACCATCAGCTGGGTCTCCCTGGATGGCATCCCCTTGATACTCACTCAGCCAAAGCCTCAGAGACACCATGGCAAGGAAACCATGGCAAGGGGCCTGGACCTATTTGCAAGGCTCTGGTATGATGAACCAAGCACATGGGATCACTGCAGATTCAGGGCATGTACCCCAAGATCATTACATTCACACCTGCTGGAAAGGCTGCCACAGTGATTACCCCCATTTTACACCTGAGCCAACCAAGGCCCAGATCGTTGATGGCCTGACTAGGATTCCCTGGGTTACAGAGGTGGGCAGCTCGTGGGCCATTGTTTACATCTGTGGCTACCCTACACCATTTATCCTCCTCCCGTGTTTGTGGTTTCCTGAGGAGCTGTCTGAGCCCATCCTCCCAGCTTCTCTCACTGCCAGGGCCCAGGTGCGTTCTGTGGGTTCTGCCCATTAAACTCTCTCATGTATGAGCTTGATTGGGATAGGAGCCACGTGAGGAAGTGGGCTGGAGGACTCCATTTGTTGGGAGGGGATGGCACCATCTTTGGGTGGTGACAGGGCAGAGTTCTTTATGTCCAGTCTTGAGAGTCTAGGAAAAGCCACAGCATAGAGCAAAGAAGTGCGGGGTACCAACCACAGCAACAGCAATAATATAATAAACTGGCCCTGCCACATGGCCGGGTATGCCTCCGGCTTTGGGTCCCAGGATTCCCGGAGTCCCTCTTAGCCCTTAATAAATCTGTTTTCTGCTTAAACCACCCAGAGTGGATTCTGTTGTTTGCAAATCAGAGCCTGACATACATCATTAACCTGGTTTTCAAAACTAGAACAGCTGTCCCCATCACACACAAGCTCGAGTGTGGAAGTATCTCTGGCCTGTTTCTACAGGGGCCCGAGGCCCATTTCTCAGCAGTGAGCACTGTTCAGACTAAAATCAGTCAGGGTGAGTAAAAGGACACGTCATACAGTGACTATGAACATAGGCTCTGGAGTCAGGCTGGGCCCTTAGCCACTTGCCTGCTGTATAACCTCGCTGACTATTACCCTTTGGAGCTTCTTCCCCTCATCTGTGTAAGAGGTAATACAGTGTGATCCATGAAGTTGTTGATAGCCCACGTGGAGGGTTTTGTATCTCTGTGCCGGAGACAGTTAGCTAATGCTCGTGTAGATGCACAGAGTTTTGGTTCTTCTTCCTTCCCACACTGGCTCTGGCCTTCTGCACAACCCTGCGCAGCTCCTAGTAAAGACACACGTGCTCAGCTCTCCTTCACCGCTACCTGGGAGCTCCCTGGGACAGAGCCCACGTCCTTTCCACACTGGGCACACAGACCAAGCCTCTGACAGCTGGAACCACAACCTGGATGTCACTCTAGCTCGAGCAGAAAAAGCCTCAGATGTGGGGCAGCCATGCAGCCCTTCCCCTTGGATACCCAGACTACTGCTCAAGGTCTCCTGTCTGTGCACGCTACCCTGACTGCCCAGCTCCTAACCCATCCATGTGCTACCATTGCCCGAGCAGCATTGTCTGCACTTCTCTGCCCCTTAAACTGCCAAACAGAGAAGTGAAGCTCACTACCAACGTATAGGGTGCCTTATGAAAGGCGGAAAAGGTGCCCCTCCTGGCAGGGCTTCGTGCCACAGATGGGGTGGATTTCAGCCCCCCTAGGTAGTTATGTGTGGAAGCTCTGGGCCAATGTAGCTTCCTGGGGTCACCTCCCCATCAGAAAGAACCACGCCCACAGCACGATGCCCCAGCTTCCTCATCATCTGCGGGTCTCCCTGAAGCACTGAGGCCATACCTCTGCCTCAGGGGTATTTCCAGTGAGGGACTCCTAGGCTTGGGCCTGAAGACCCATCTCCTTACACTTACCCTTACTGGGAGGCACAGGTGGTTCAGGGAGATTACAGCCCCAGTGCCTGAGACTGACCACTGAGTCAACTCAGAGTCCATTTAAGGGAGAATTTCAGGTAGGTGAAGATCCTGGATTAGCACTTAGATTGCAATGATTTTGACAAAACCAAAAAAAATGTCAGAGGAGAGATCAACCCACAGATTGAAGTCCTCTGAGAAACCACAGGTGGTAAGAGCATAGCAGTCTTCTAGAAGGCAGGAAAAGCCCTCTGCACAGGGACAGCAGCACTAATTAGCAGTGTTCCTTACTTCATCCATAGCTACCATGGCCCCCAGTGCGTGCAGCGGTGGTATCAAGAGAGAGGTGGTGTCCACACCACGTGTCTGTCCTAATCACCAAACGAGGATTGGGAAACGGTCCAGGCTGAGGCTTGAGGACCTCCTTCACAGACCTGTGACTTGGCAACTTGAGTTGGAAGGCATCAGATTACTGTGTTTCTGATGCAGACCAGGTTTCTCAGGCCTAAAGTGATAAAAGATCCAGGAAATTAACAGGTTCTCCCTTAAAGAGGCTTCATGTCTCAAGCCTTTCCGCATCTGGCCTTTTACTGCTGCAAGTGGAAAATTCTTAGCTGATGTTGGGGAGCTAGCAGTGTTGCTGCCTGCAGGCTCACTGGGTGGCTCCATGCCCCGGATCGTAAGTGACATCTGTAACTCAGAGCTGCTGCCTTAAGGTCCTTTAGTTCCAGCCAGCTCTCACCAGCTTATTTCATGTAATTTTATGTCAACAAAACAAAAGGCTCTTCTTGGACTTTTGAGGGCTAAATTAGTCTACTTGGTCTTTAGGGAGCAAAGACACATTCATGATGAGCACAGATCAGGCTGGCACCAGCTATAGACAATCTGTCGATTCAAGGCCTGGGAAGAGGCTGGGCACCAGCTGAGCCCTGCATGGCATACCTTGGCAGGCCTTCAGCCACAGGGCAGTGTGGAGCTGGCACTGGTGGCATCCATGGCAGACATCACTAATCAAACACTGAGCCTCAGAGTCATTGGCAAGACACTTCTCCAGGCAGCCTCGTTGATTAACCCAAGTTGGTGCCTTTACTGCTTCTGTTTAGAGCACTCTTACAATATTTCATGGTTCTTAAGGAATATGTTACTCAGGCAGACAATTTCTATCTTCCTTTTCTCTCTCAATGCCCTGTTTTCCCTTTTTACTCTTCTAGGATATTTCCCCTGATCCAGCAGGATATTTGGGAAAGAAATGAGGGTACAGCGGGGCTGCAGTAGTTATGGCCCAGAGAGCCCCAAGGCCACCCTGTATACACCCCACCTCAGGGACTGGACCTCAAGTTGTTGAGGGACTGTGAGAAGGCCTAGATGGAACCTGGGCCTCTGCCAGTACTCACCGAGCAGCCCTGGGTTGGGGAACCTCCAGGAGTCGTTGTATGAGGAATACTGAGGGTGGCTGTAGGGACTCCCAGAAAACTCGCTCCCTGAGGTGATGGAGAGAAACAGAAACCAAATGTTAGATCAAGTTCAGAAAAAACCCTGTGTCCTGGCCTGCCTGGGGGCTGATGTTGGCCTCCTTAACGAGCTGAAAGTACTTTTTATAACCAATAGAGGCCAGGTCAGAGCCACATCCTTACCCAGGGAGTAGCTCTCACTGGTATGATCCAGGTCTTTCTGCAGAACCTTTTGTAAGAAGAGCAGTGAAACCTAGCCTCTCATATGGGCACAATGAAACCACCATGTTCCAGGTGTTCCTGGGGACACTAGCTCCCTTCACAGGCAAGGAGACTGATGTCCAGGGTCTCATACAATGGCCCTGATACACCTGCCCAAGTCCAAAGCTGCAGACGGCTAGCATCTTAGTGTGGGTTCAGTCCTATTACCAAAACATGACCTCAGCTGTAGTCCGACGTGAACCCAGGGGCTTCAGTCTAGTCAGAGAGATGAGACAAAACTCAGGCCCTTTGATTCAAGGATGCAGCTGCCACTGGTGCCCTGCTGAGACGAAGGGACAGTCCAAAGGACAGGGGAAAGGAAGAGAGGGTGGCCTGGGTTCTTGCAGGCACTAGGGAAGAGGCTATTGTTAGTGGTTCTGGGCATCCTCAGGCATGAACTGTGAGGTGTTTCACAATGGGGACAGCACGGAGTGGGGCCATGGCTGACCCTGAGGACAGTGCCTTAGTCAGTGGCTCAAGGAGCAGTAGGCTCTGGCTCTTCCCTGGGCCAGACGGCAGCACCAGGAAAGCCTCCTTCCTGCCAGCCAGGTCAAAGGGGAACCTCAAATCCTATCTCCCACACTCTTGCTGGTTTGCTCTTGTAGCGGCCAGCGTCTGCCTGTCTCTCTGATGGCTGGGGGGGGGGGGGGCAGGGCACAGGCATGGACTCTAACTTCTCAGTGGGTGGCCTGGTGCCTGGCAGAAGGGTGTGTGGAGCCACGCCTAGAGAGTCAGCTGCTCAGCTGTTTGCCTCAGCTTCTAGACACAGAGCCTGTGGGCTCGCGCCTGCTGGAGATGGCAGGAGTTACACAGCCCCAGGAGACCACCTGCAGCCGAAGCGTGACTCCATGTTCCACCAAAGGCGCCGACAGAGGCCAAGGGTCAGTCAGAACTCAGGACCAAGAGCAATGCCCTGTCCCCTGTGGGTCTCACAGGGCCAGGTGGGCCCTGAAGAGTGAGGCAGGGCTGAAGGGACAGCTGCCCCTAGCCGATGATTCCAGCGGGCCTTTCCCCACCTCCACAGGCAACCACAGAAAGAGAATGTCCACACACACACACACACACACACACACGCACACACATGCACACACACACATGTGCACACGCCTCCCCGGTCCTCTCTGGGGGCCACTCCCAGCCTGACAGGCTGAGCCTTCCAATTCTCTGTTTTTTATGCCTCAGTGGTCAGGGTGTCAGGTTCTGGCAGAGGGAGGGAGAGCATGGTGACAGTGCTGGGCCGCAGCAGCCCAGCTTCGGCACATCCATCAGTGCCAAGGTGCCGCCGCCACCTCCTCCTCCTCCTCCTCTTCCTGCTCCTCCTCCTCCTCCTCCTCCTCCTCCTCCAGGGCAAGATAGGAGACACACGGAGACCAAGTACCCTGGAGAAGGGAGACAATTGCTCCTCCTCTGGGCTCTAGGGCCCATGGAGCTCCCCATCAGAGGTACTTCCTGACAGTGCTGTGCTGGGCCATGGCATTCAGTGACCACAGCAAAGGCCATCTCTGTTTAGCAGCATGGCTTCTATGCCCAGATCCCAGGCCACCTCTTGCAGGAAGCCTCCCTGAGCTCCAGCCCCTAAGTACAGTCTCGATATACTTGACTTGAATTAGATGTGTACGTTATCCGTCCCCAGATTGGCACTGGCCACTGGAGGTCCTTACCTTACGCAGGGCCATAAGCAGTTCCAGCTCCTCTAGAGAAGATGCCTAAGTCAGCGTCCTCACCCTCTTCTGCCCACCCTCACTCACTGGGTTACAGCACTGAGCACAAAGCCCTCAGATACCTTCTTGTTTGGGGCCCCTTTTTATGCCCCTCCTCAAGCAGACCCAGGCTCCAGGATCACCCCAGCAAGGGATTTGCCCTGCTCTATAGGGGAGTCCCGAGGCCCGGACGTTTCTGGTCTGTCCTCTGCACCTGTGTCTCATCCTTGTCCCCAGCTTAATGCCACGTCCCCAGCAGACAGCTGGCAGTCCTCTGGGTCCCCTGCGATGCAGCTGTTCCTGTGGTTCTCATCTCCTCCTAGGCTTCATTCAGGTGAGGCCCTCCCTGACCACCCATCCCTCTTTCCTGCTTTATTTTTCTCCGTAGACCATATCATACTCCAGCCTGTCCTATTAATCATGCTCACCTTGTTAATTATTTGCCTCTTCCACTAGGCCATAAATTCCTTGGAGGCAGAAATTTTTCTCTGTTCATGTCTCTATTCTAACTTCCAACACAAGGCTTGGGATGGATAACTATTTGCTGACTGACTGACTGATTGAATGATGGGAACTTCTAAGTCAACCAGGGACACTCTATCAAAACAGATCTCTCTAACTCAGATCATGGGTCCCACTACTTCTGCTATTAGTTCCCATAGCCAGGAACCAAATGACAGCTGCTATGTGTTAGTATTTAAGCCAGCTTCTCTGTCTCCATTGCTCATATATCAGCCAACCCCTCAGTAGAAGAAATGGACACATGAGGAGCTCAGCCCTGCCTGGTGTCCTAACAAGTGTGGTGCAGTGAGCACCTTCAGTCCAGGCCCTGTCCTCTGAGATGCCCTATTGGACTGATGTATTCTGGGCAAGGTGAGCTCGACCTTCTCCAGGGCATGAGGTTAAACCTAGGGGCCAGCCCAGCTACCTGTTGGGGCCTCTACGATGGTGCTGTGATCTGAAATGCCACCTGTTTTGATTGTAGGGAGTCCTTACCTCGTGAGATATGGGGAGGCCAGGTCTTCAGTCTCCAAACATCATCTATACAGCTGGCCTTGTCAGGCCACAAAGCTGACTGGGAAGCAGCAGCCTGCCCTGGCTCAACTCCACAGGTTACTACTGGACCCCATGGGCCTCAGTCAGTTTGACACAGAGGTTGGGAGCAAGAGGTCTGGAGCCAGGATGCATGAATTCAAATCCTGAGCCTGCCTCTCCTAACTCTGTGCCCCTCAGTGGGTCATTAAGCCTCTCTGTGCCCAGCTTCCTTCTCTATAAAGTAGGAGCAATTACTAGATTGTTGAAAAGATGGATAGAGTGCTCACTCAGGGACATCAGGAGAGCAACGATCCTGGGCCAGTCACCACACCCTGCTTTGCATTCAGGATCTCAAGTTAACTCTCTCGATGACCCTGTGAAGCTGCAAGGTGGGTTTTCACATGTGAGAAAACAGAGGGTGCAGAGGGCAGGGGACTTGCCCTGGCCAGGGGCTGACAGGTCACTGTCTTCCAGATCAGGCTTTCCTGCCTGTGTGGGCAGGGACTCAGTTTCCCCATTTGTAAAGGCTTGTCTTTTGATGCTGACTCCACTCAGCAGCCATTGGGCTGCCCTTCCTGGGCCCCTTGCAGGTGCTCTGGCCCCCTCATCTAACTCCGGGACACTTGGGTTGGGGGTTGTAGCCCTTTACTGTGTTTATCTGCCTGAAGTCACCCCTAACCTCGCATTTGAGGGGCTCTTGTCTTTTTTGCTGGAACCTCAGGAAAGCATGCTGGAAGTAAGGTCTGAGAAACCCAAAGAAGGCCCAGGGCAGCATCTGGGATGGAGAGGAGCAGGTGCCAGCCTTTGAAGGACAGAGAAGGGGCAGACAGGGAGGGTGTGAGCAGGCCTTGTGTGAGGTCCCAGAAAAGATGGTCACAGAGCTTTCATGGGGTAGGATTTTAGGATATGTCTCCCATTGGAGTTGGGACCGGAGCATGGCGGTAGGCCAGGGAGCACCACCATCTGGGGGAGAGGGTGGAGGAGGGGAGCCTTGGGTGGGGGCCCTTCCAGGTGGCTGCTGCCACAGGGTAATTGACAGGGAATGGGCCTGAAGATGACACGGCTGCACTCTCTATAGTGCAAAATATTCCTCAGGAGCAGGAATGAAAGTCCTTGGCTCTGGTCTTGTCAGGGCTTCCAGAAGTGGAGATCACACAGTAAACACTTCTATAACAACTTTGCTCAGCACGAAAGACAGCAGGGACTCCTTGCCTTTTTCTCCCAACTGACCCAGGCTTGAGGCATCGAAATGCTGACCCTTTAAACTAGATTCAAGTTCTTTATGCACTAATAGCTCCTGCCTAGGAAACTCTCCTTCACTGGGCAGTGAGACCCACCTGGGGGGTGCACAGCACACGAAACCTCCTCAGACAGCCCTGGGCACTGCCTGGAATCGATCACATGGAAGCCCCTGAGAACTCTTTTAACAGCAAAACCTAGACTGTAATCTTTTCCTTCGTCATGCCCTGAGGAGTGATCAGTCTCAAGGCAAAATAGGACTGGACCCAGAGTCTTCCGAGGCCAGGTCTGCAGTGGGAATGGCCAGGGCGGCCCACGTGTTACTCTGGGAGCAGAAAGCAGGCAGGTGGCTTTGTGGCTGCACACGGGGCAGGCATGAGCATTTCTGTGGCGAGCTACTAGCTTTCTTGGTAATCAGCCCTCAACTCGCTGGTCGCACGGCCTTGGGCACCTGATTGAACTTGCCCTGGCAGAAGCTCCTCAGCGGGAAGGAGTGTCTCATAAAGCACAGCTAGAGTCTGACTGTCTCTGAGAAACTCAAGTTGAAATTTAATCTCCATTATGAAGTATTAAGAGAGTAGGTATTAAATCCCACGGTGGAGTTAGAGGCGGTACCTTGGGAAGGGAATGAAAGTTAAGTGGGACCCTAACACAATGGGACTAGGCTTTATAAAGAGAGGACGAGAGGCCTGGGCTAGCATGTTCTGCTTGGTCACATGATTCCTTTCACAGTGGCCTTGGAACATGGGAGAAGGTCTCTACCAATAAGAAGGACCTCGCCAAATGTGGCTGCCAAATCCTGAACTTCCTAGCCTTCAGAACTGTGAGCTAAACCAACCTTTATTCTTTACAGATTACACAGCCTGAGGCCTTCAGTGATAGCAAGAGAAAATGGACTAATAAGTACTGGTGGGAGGTAATTGACATGCTGTTACCAAAAGAACAAAGCTATCTTCTTCCGATGCTAAAGAGACCACAGAGCCAAGGAGAAAGGGGAGGAGAAAGAGGCTCCTTTAAAATAGAATCTTGTTCCCAAAAAGAACTTTACAGCTTTCCTTGAGTTCTGGGCTATGCAAAAGGAAGCCAGCATCAGGGTTTAGGGAAAAAAATAGAGAGCAGCTAAGTGGCAGGCACAAGAAAATGGAAGAGGTGGGGCGTGGTAGATCAAGCAAGTCACTCAGCACTCTGGAAGGCTGAGGCAGGAGAACACAAACTACAGTCCGCACTTGTCAACTCAACAACTTAGCAAGACGTTGAATCAAAATAAGAAATACTACAAAAGGGTAACTCAGTTCAAAGGTCCCCAGTTCAATCCAACCCCTTCCTCCACAAAAAAGAAAAAGAAAGAAAGGAACTGGATTGTGGGAATGGAAGATGCATGTGCCCCCTAGAGGGATGAGCTGTGGAAGAACATTAAAGAAGGGGGACTGGGGTTGGGGACGTAGCTCAGTGGCACAGCACCTTCCTGGCAAACACAGGTCATGAGTTCAATTTCCACTATGGAAAAAAAAAAAAAAAACAAAAAACCAGCTGTGGGACATTCAGGTTCCCACTTGAAACTATTTGTCTGAAAGTCTAATCTGGTCCCTGCCCGTCTCCCACACATTCACAAAGACAGCTATGCAGAGGAGTATGGTTTGTCCACTTTGAAACCCGTGCTGAAATGTGGCTGTCACTGTGGTTGTATTGGGAGGCGGGGCCTTTAACAGGCGATTGGGTCGTTAGAGGGGCCCTCTGGCTTGTTTCTCTTCCACACATGTCCACGTGCCCTTTTACTTGTTGCCATGTTGCGATGTCCTGGCCCGACACCCTGCTATGCCCTTGGACATGCCAGCCTCCAGAAATGCGAGCCAAAGTGAACTTCTCTTTGGTATACAGCATCTTGCTTGTGGCACTTTGTTATGTCAGCAGAAAACAGACTAAGGCAATACTCTAAGGCTGGAGTTGGTGTTTTCTTCCCACATGGAAGTCAGAGGCAGCGATGAGCTACCATGTTTTGGTGGCCACTGGGGTTGGAATGTAAGAATCTGATCAAAGAACCATGTAGATTATACAGTCCAAGAAGCCTGAGCCAGAAGTAAGCATGGGACAGTAAGCCTACACCGGCAAACAGGCTTGGAAAGGACATCAGGCTTTGCCACCAGGTGGCCAATGAAGGTTTAGATCACTCTTACCTTGAGTTCGAGGAGCAGGGGGTGACATTTGTCAGCATTATTTAAATAAGGAAAAGGAGTGGTCCGGTCAGAAGAGGCAACTACCTGGGCACAGGCAGGGAGCAGGTCCAGCAGGTGGCCCATGTGGGGTTCCAGGGCACATTGGGCACTGGTCCCCATCCCTCAGTTACTGTCACCAGGACTGAGAACAGAGGGCTGGCAGCCTTTTAGACATGGGCTCAGGGTCACTTTTAGGGAGTGCTCCAGTGCCCATTCTTAGAACTGCTCATCCTGGAGGAAAAGACTTTAATGGCCTTTGGTGACATCCAGGAGGAGGCTCTAGGCCCCAGGCCAAGCCCTGCCTCATACAGACTCTGTGGCCTTTTGCGAGCAGATGGACCTCATGAGCCTCAGCCTCCTCAGCTGTAATGGAGGAGGGAGCTCCTGCCTCTGGAGCTTGCGGAGAAAGTCAAGGGACTTCGTGGTGTCAGAGAATCTTCACAAACCCATGTACCGGAGGATTTGAACCATCTGCTCTTCAATGGTGGGGAAAACAAACTCAGCTGGGGAGCTCCCGCCCCGCCACACCCTTCCCCACACAGCAAATTCAACAGGATTTTACAGGGAAGACTTCCGGGCTTGCCACAGTTTTTCTTACTTGTGCTTGTTAGATATCTCTCTATCCCTCTAGCCTTTCGTTTATCTTATTATTTTTGCAGTCCCCAGTAAATTGCAAGTATCAGTGTACTTTCCCCTAAGCACTTTAGCATGCATATCACTAACTAAAATAAAGCTCATTATTTATTTAGTGAACAAACCAAATCTTTGTTTGGACGTAAAATTTACACATAATGAAATGTGCAAGTCTTCAACACACTATTACTTTGACAGACGCACACACTCGTGTGAACCAGATTCTCACCAAGTTATAAACACTTGTGTCACTCTTGGGGAGCTCTCTGGTGATGAAGAGGGAGCTCAGGACCAGCTGATAACCCCGCTGTGTAGAGAGCTAACTGACCCATCCTCCCATGGACACAGCGCTCTGCAGTTAGCACTGATGCCCAGACCCCGACTGCGGAAGGAGGCTCCTGATTGCCAGACTGAAGTCCCTCTCAAGCCACCAAACAGGAGGAAGGGGAATGAATAATCTTTTCTCAAAGATTAAGAAAGGACTGCAGAGGCTAAAAACCTACGACAAATGCACTGTTTTCAAATATGGAAGAGCTGACTGCACAAATCAACCAGGTGAGTAGAAAATACTGATGAAAGTGAACAGTTTAGAGGGGGGTCTGATAAAACACCCTTAAAGCAGGAGATTACAGGCACAGGAACAACCCCCAAATCAGAGGTGCTTCAGTTTTTCCTTCGCTCAAAGCTCAGAGATGGCAAGAAAGTCAGTCTCCTAAAATTCTCAGATGTGACAGGTAAACGGCTCAGTATAGCTCTTAATTAACCCAAAACGACACCTGCCAGATGATGGGGATTTGCCGAGCACACGGGGCCGCCCCTGTCTGCAGATGGTGGGCTTCCACCTCTGCTCCAGACCTTGGCCGGCTGTAATTAACATACGGAAAGTCTTTCAAAGTGACTTCCCAGCCAAGTTCCGTGTCTGAAGGAGTCTTTGTGAAGGAGGGAGAGAACGAAGATCTGAAGAGGGCTGTGAGATTCTCAGCTCCTCCCTGTGGCTTTGCGGAACTGCATGACTGCATGACTACCAAGGGCACTGTTGCACAAAACTGTCCCTGGCTAGAGGGGCCACACCTACGATTCCACACAAAGGCACCGCCAACCTTTTATGCACACTTATATTTAAATAAAAGTGTCTACCTGAGCATTATTACACCATATAGCATTACATGTAATATCCATATAGTCAGGATATATAATAACATGTGTAATATACACACACACGGACAGGTGTATATCTATGCATACACAGACTCTGCATTTTGGGGTTCTGTCTAGTCTTCTCTGAATGACCTTAAACAAGTCACTTCTAACCAAGCCTCAGTTTTTTTGTGTTTTATTTTGTTTTGGTATCGGGAATTGAACTCATGACCTTGCACTTACCAGGTAAGTACTTGAGCCCACTGAGCTAAATCCCTGACCCCAAGCCTCAGTTTTCTCATCTGTGAAAGTGGTGTGCATGGAAATGACCTTCAAGAGGTTTCCCTTTCCTGCAACCAGTCCCTAGTGCACCCCCTTTGCAGGCCCAGACTCTTCACCCTCCCTCCCTCCCTCCACAGCAAGACCTTCCCAGATTCCCAACAGGGAGACGAAAACCTGAGCTCATAAAGGTCAGCCCTGTCAACCCGGACAGGCTAGCACACTGCACATCGATCTACTGCTGGGAAAAACCTCTTCTCCCACCAGTGCAGGCCAGCCTCGCAGGCCTTCAGAAAAACAGAGCGAGGAGAAAAACCAAGAGAGAGGGCGAGTGTGAGGGAGAGAATACAGAACGGGTTTCATTTCTGCTTCTCTAGGAAATCACAGACTTTCAGGCCAGACAGCGGTGCTGCGTGGGCCACAGGGACACTGGGAAGAAACCAAGCCTGTACCCCGACACTACCTCTGACCAGAGGTAAGGCAGTTGAGTGACTTTCTTTTCTTTCTTTCTTTTTTTTTTTTTTTTTTTTTTGTTAGTACTGGGGATCGAACTCATGACTGTGTACTTGCAAGGCAGGCACTTATGCTGCTGAGTTAAATCCCCAGCCCAGTTGAGTGACTTTCTGAGCCTCAGTTTTGTCCTGTGTTAACAGAAAGAGAACTGTTATTGCACCACTTCCTGTTGTCTACACCTACAAAAACCCAAATGTGCAAGGATCCTTCAGGAAACTCACTGTTGGGTCACAGCAGTGCCACCATAGGCCACAAAACACTAACCCAACTTCACAGCTCACAACCTATTAGAAAAAGGAATGGGGGTCCTAGGGCCACAGGGGACCCTTGACACAGATTGGTGGGTTGCCAAGTTTGTCACAGTCATAGATCAGGTAATTTAGATCTGTTTTCTTGTCCTCTAAGCCTGCCTTCCCTTCTATGACTAGCCTTGTAGATATTTCCATTTGAGATCTCTGGTAGAGCACATTTGGAGAAGTTCTGGCCCAATTTTAACTGCTCTCTTCTTGTGGAATTATTCTGAAATTCTATCCCATCCTGCTCTCAACCTAACAAACAATGGGCAATGCAACTAGCTCCTTGCCAGGGTGCAAGATAACTCCTAATTTATGAGTGCATCTGTGGAGCCTGGAGAGCCCCAGCTGCCTTAAGTCTGCTCTGGAGCACTGCCATGACCCGGGCTGGGATACCCACAGGTGGCACACGGGTGAGGACCAGCAACAGACGAGCCTCACAAGAACCATCGAGGCCCCTTACGGTCGATCTGCTGCCCACTGATCTTCCCCACCACAGCCCCTACTGCCCCCTGCTACATGCCATGGTCTGGGCCCCCTTGCTACCTACCACCTCCACGCCCGCTTCTTGGGGCCATCGCCATCTGTTTCCTTCACTTGAAACGCCACCTTTCTTCCCCTTCTTCATATCCAACCTCCCAACTTACCAAGAGTCAACTCCCATGCCACCTCCTCCAGGAAGCGTTTTAGATTGACCATTGTTGCTGAGTCCATTCCCTACTTTCCTGAGTCCCCAGCCTGGGTCTGCAGGGCACTGCCCAAAACATGTGGATGGAGTGAGTGCTAAGTATGACCAACAGATGCTCCCTGAGTCATGGCCGTCTGGAGCCAGGTCATGAAAGGGGCGCCAGGAGAATTAGTGGCACTCCAGTCTCTTGCCTTGGCAAGCAGGAGAGCTGAGGAAGGGAGGGGAATACCTGTAAGGGGGAAGAGAGCTAGGTTTGCTGCAGGAACCGCAGGGCATGTCCAGTGGACAAAGAACCCCGGATGGGTGCCTCCTGAGGGCCTTCGCATCCCTCTCCCAGAGCTTGACAGATCTCCCTGCTACATAGGGAAAGCACTAAGTTTGGTTCACTCCAAGAGCACAGGAGTTTAACAATGTAGAAAGCAAGGAGCAAATATATAACTAAACACTAAAAATACTGATAGTCATAGCTCAGGCCAGACTGAAGTTGGGTTGGAAAATGGGAAAGTCACTAATTTTTCTTAGTACCTCTTCTGTGTGCTCACTTGGCCACTAGAAGTGCTCAGTCTGAAAACCCGAAGATTTTCTTTGCAAACCGGAATGTGGTCAGAAGCCCCTTGTCCATGGCCTAATCGACCAGCCCCTAACTTCACTGTTTGGCAGGGCTGACACTGAATTGTAATCCTGTGCTAGTCTTTTCTGTCACCGTACAAACACCAGAGATAATGAACTTACAGAGAACAGTGTTACTTTTGTTCACTGTTTTGGAGGTTGCGGTATGTAGCTGATTGGCCTTGTTGGGGGGCTATCGTGAGGGTGCCGAGCTGCTCACATTAGGCTGGGAGGTGAGAGAGGAAGCAAAAGGGACTAGTGCCCTGCATGCCACCAAGGGCACACCCCCAATGGCTTAAAGACCTCCCATGAAGCCCTGCCTTTTAAAGGTTCTCTCACCTTCCAATAGCATCATGGGCTGAGGCCAACCCTTTAACACATGGGGACATCACGGATCCAAACTATAGCCATTCCCAAGAAAACCCAATCTCATGTCCATGATGGCTGTCTAATAAACTTCTGAGGCTCTCTTGTGCCATCCCAAGCTGGATTTATTCATCCCACGGTCATGGACATGGAGAAGTTAGAAGCAGAGTAGGAGGTGAAATTTATTCTAGTGAAGGCATCCAGGAAGGCTTCCTGTAGGAAGAAGATGTAATCAGGGCCTCAAACAACACTCAAACTTCACCTTTGGGTGAGTTACCAAACTCTGCTCCTGTCCACCTGCCAGCATGGGATGTATTCCCCTGAGGAGTAAAAGTACACTGCTCCTGTCCCCGCAGAAGGGAGTCTCAGCCGAATGGAGTGTGTCCTGGTGTTACAGTGTGGATGACAAATCCCCTCTTCTAAAAAGGCCCAAAGGCTTGGACCACAGGAGGATGCCAGGAGGCAGGAGGGTGGGATCTTGAAGAGGCACAGCCTAGTGGGGATCCTTAGGTTACTGGGGTGTGTCCTTGAGGGGGGATTATGAGGCCCAGGTCTTGTACTCTCTTCCAGCCCTCACCAGAGGCCCAAATGAATGAGGTGCCTGATCTTAGACTGGAACTTCCAGAAACCGTGAGCCAAGATAACCCTGGCTTGGGTACTCTGTTGAATTAACTTTGAGCTGACCAAAACACCTGGTTTACAATGGGCCATGGAGACTCTGCTCTTTCTTTTTTAACTGGCAAGAAGGCAGCTGCTAATACAGGACAGTGACCAGTAAACCCAGCAATCCCAACTGCTCGAATCACATCAAGATTGGCAACTAACTGTAGAGAGGTGAGGCCCAGTTTTTTGCACAGGTGCAAAAAGCACAGTGGGGGGTGGCAAAGTCTCTGGGCTTGCAGCCAGTCAGTCCTGGTCAGAGGTGTGAGCTGAATGGCCTTGGAGAAGCCACTTTAGCCCTCTAAACCTATGCTTCCACCTGCAGTGTGGCTATTACGGCACTCATAGGGCTAAGAAATATTGCACTTTAAATTCTTTGTGAATTAAAAAGTGTTACACAAATGCAAGGGGGTATTTGGTGTTTAACACAATTCTTGGCACACAGCACATGCTTTGTGTGACCCGTGCAAAAACAGATGCACTAGGGTTTGTTTAAAAAAATCGAACTGTATTTCCAGATGTTTTTCTCAGATTTCAACAAATGTCTAGGATTTTTTTGATTACAAGGAAAGCCTCAAATTAGGAGTCAGGTCCACAGATTTCATGTCTCTGCCACAGTGTAGCTTTGGGCATGGCCCCTAGGCCTGGAGCCTTACTCTCCCCAAACTGCTGAGAGTAAGGTGGGAGGGAGAAGAGACTGGAGTCTGGTCTTTCCACTCAGAAACCCTCCTCTGCCCCCACCTCTCACCCAGCGACCCTGTGCTTGCTTAAATGACAAGTCCAAACCCCCACCTTTGCAAAGTATTTTTTTGAGCAACAGACTATTTCCACCAGGCTTTTTTGGGGGGGGGGGCACTGAGACTTGAGCATCAGCTGACTGTAAAGCAGATGCACCTCCCCAGCTCCTATTACCAGCTCTCAAAATCAAAATGGCCCTTGGTTCACCAGCTCAGGGGCCCCCTAAAGTCCAGTGCATTCCCAAAGCCTTCAGGGACTCCTCCTGTCAGCCTGGTGCCAGTCCAAGCTGACTTACTTTCCTGCAGGTTCGACCTTGGCCCATGCCTCGGAGCAGCCGGGTCCTCCTCAGAAGAAATCCCCTCCCCTGGATCCGCTCAGCTGGTGCTGAGGCCAGAACATCGCATGGCTGACTAATGAGACGGAGGTGAAGGTGTCATACCTTGCTGGGAAGTCACAGTGCTAGTCCCGACCTGCACCGCCTGCCATCAGATTTTAATGCTGCTGCTGACATATTTATGGAATGCCTCACCAAGTGTTTGCCGGGAGACCAGACAAGATTTACCTCCACAATTACTTCCACATCGTGCAGGCTTCGCTGTGCGCTGAGAACTTGGCTGTGCTAGGCCTGAGCCCCACTGCGCCCTGAGGAACAGGCTCCATTCCGCACACCTTTCTTGCCCCCAGCAAGCAGGGCCCGGGACTGGGAAGATGGAGATGAATCAGATACGCTTCCTGCCCACGGAGAGCCCGAAGTCTGCAGGTGGGGGCCGCACACACATAAATTACCCACATCCAGGGGGACTGGAGACCAGCGCTGAGAACAGGTTGAAGCAGGCTGGGATGGAGTGGGGGAGAGGAGAGTTATCTCCGCCATCAAAGCCCCTCTGGGCTGTCCAGCCACCCAGCTGCTTCAGCTCTTCTGGTGACATCTCTGCCCTGGCAGGGCTCCCAGGGCTTCCATCCCTCCCCCGATGGCCTCAGTGACTCTGCGCCTCTCTCCTTTTAGGTGCCTGTACCTTCATTTAGACTCTTAGGGCTCCGTTCTCAAAGCTGACTGGAAGCAGGATGCAGCCCCCAGAACCTCTCCGTTCTTCACGGAGTCAGTAAACTCCCTTCCCTGGAAGCTTTACTAGGCTCCCCCTGCAGAGCTGCCCTGGGCCAGGGGCAAAGTGGAGGGATGTGGGCCAAGGGCTTCAACCACCTAAGAAGCTTTAAAACACCAGGTGCTGGGGCTAAGGATGTGGCTCAGTGGTTGCCTAGCATGTGTGAGGCTCTGGGTTCAAGGTGCAGTGCTGTAAACAAAACAACAAATCCCTCTGGCTGATACATCTGTACTCCATACTAGTTCGTCCGGACCTCCTGGGGCGAGGGCAGGTAGCACTTTTGTCCAGATTCCCAAAGTGATTCCAGTGAGCCGTGGGTTTGAGAAGCAGGGGCCAGAAACTGACCCTCAGAGTGGGTAAGCACCGACCTTGCCTGAAAGCTTGTTAGAAGTGAGCACTCCGGACCTAGACTCACTGAACCCCAATCCACTTTCTGCGAGGATCTGAGGCTTGTAAGCAGTGGGGTTGGAGGGGCACTGAAGTGCAGTAAAGATTGCCCTGGTATTCTCAGAAGCCTCTCAGTGGGGGCACTGGAAGGCTACCCTGGAAGCAGCCTGGCCACCACAGGCCTGGCTACCAGGAGGGGCTGGCTGGGGCAGGAAGACTCTGTATGGCCATGGAGGCAGGTGATATCATTACCCAGACAGCTGACAAGGCACGGGTGCTTGGAGGGAGCTGAATTAGAACCTTGCGACAGTCCTCACAACTCCCAAGGCTGGGCCACAGGCAGGAACCCCAGTGCAGTCCCCTCTGTACCACAAACTCACTGGAACAAGGCCCTCCCCCAGTCCAGGCCTCAGTTTCCCCAGGACCCTGAAAAGGCATAGATCTACCTTTTTCCATTATATATTACAATGTAATAATAACAGAAATAAAGTGCATGATGAATGTAAGGCACCCAGGTCATCTCCAAATCACTATCCCATTCCACCTCATCTTTGGAAAAACTGTCTTCTATGCAAGCAGTCCTTGGTGCCAAAAAGGTTCCAGGGAATGCTTGGCACAGATAATGTTAAAGAAGTCCATTTCCTGGTTCTCAGCTGCCAAATGAATTGTTTCTTAAAACTGATCTGCCTGTGGGACACGCATCATGCCAGTTTTCTGTTCCCACTTTTCCCTCCTTAGTCCTGCAGATCCAATCTCTTTCTCTCTTTCTTTCTTTCCTTCTTTCTTTCTTTCCAAAAGAGGTCTCACTCTGTAGTCCAGGCTGGCCTTGAACTTGTGGTGATCTTTCTGCCTCAGCCTCCCAAGTGCTGGGAATACAGGTGTGCACCACCACGCCCAGTGTACCCAGTCCTTTTAAAATTCCACTGACACTTTCCTGTGTGTCATCTGTGTCCAGCTCACAGGCCAGCAGAGACATTGCTTTGGTGGAAAGGGAGGTGAGGGAAGAGAGCAGAGCAGAGCTATCTTTGGGGACCGGAAGGAAGAGAGCAGAAGCTTCCCAAGGGAGCAGATGCAGGCCAGGTGGGACCTCACAGGTGTGCTGGAGTGACCTGCTGTATGTCCCCTTGAAGGCCAGGTACACTGACCAGGCACAATATTTTACCACCCATTCCTTCCCCAGGTACTGACCGAGTGCTGCTACTAGGTCCTGAGGCCACAGCCCTGGACAAAACAGATCCCGAACACGAGCGCCCCCTCTTTGAGCTTATGTTCTAGTGGTCTCATCAGACAATAAAGTAAAATAAGTAAAGACAGTGTGCTCATGAGATGTCGTTAGGAGAAACAAAAATAGGAAATAGATTTAGACAACTTAGGAAGGTTATAAAATTTTAGAGGAGGTTATAAATTTTAGAAGGTTATAAAATTTTAAAGGAGTAGAGATGGTTTTGCTGAGAAGGTAACTTTTGAATAAGAAGTCAAAGGACCAGAGAGTCAGTCATGTGAGTATCTGTGGCAACAGCACCCCAAGTAGAGAGAAAAGCAAGTACAAAGGTCCTGGGGCAGGAATATGGGTGGTGTGTTAGAGGAATAGCCAAGAGGCCTGCATGACTGGAGAGGAGAATTGGGTGTGACCTGACTCAGGCTGGCTCCTGCTGAGAATGGACTAACCGGGCAAGGATGGCAGGGGAGGCCTTCAGGGGGGTCACTGCAAATGTTTGCTGAAATACAGACCCCTGTCCACAAAGTGGATCATATGGCCATTGGGGACCTAATGCTGCAAGGCTGGGAAGGCCAGGCCATGTGGTCACACAAGCAGGTGGTCAGCTGATCAGAGCCAAGAACCTTCTCTAGGTGGCAGAGAGATCACTTTGGATTCTAGTCTTTGCTCTGTGTGACCTTGTGCCTCTTCCTCGCACAGGACCTACAACAAAAGTAGCATGCGGGGTCCCCATGGCGCTGAGACGACTCTCAGTGTGGCTGTGGAAGCTGGTAAACCGAGGCCGATACAGGCCAAGGCCATGTCTACCCTGCCACACAGGGACGTGGGGCAAGGCATCCACCATGTCCACTAGGGGGAGCTTTGGCGATTCTTCCTGGATGCAAAGGACTTAGGCAAAGGACATAGCCTCAGTCCTGGCTCTCAGGGATTTCAGTTCCAAGCCCTCTGGTGGCCCAGGGGTGGCCCTGAGACGTTTCCACGGTGCCAGGGATGCTGCAGTTGGCAGGGTTCTGTCTCTCCATTCCAAACAGCCAACAGCAGCTATTTGAGAGGCTGGGGCATCAGTCTCTGCCCCGTGACAGACAAACCAAAGAGCAGGTAACAAAGAGGCCACGTGGGGCAGAAAGCAAGTCCTAGGGCAAGTGTTTGCGGTGAAGGAGGCGGGCTGGGAGGCTTCTGGCTCACACCTGTGCTTCCTGTTTGAGCTATTTCAGGTGGCTCCTGAAGCACGCACTGGACACCTGTCCCGCGCCTGGCTCTGTTGAGAAGCACGTGGGCCTAGGCACACTTAGGCTCATGAACCCACCTCGCCCTCCAAGACGGCCAGCATCGCTAGGGTTCTGAATTTCTCTCTGAACACTCCATTTATCTGACGGTTAAAAAGGCCCAATAGGATGCACTTAAAATAGACTGAGTGGGCAGGGCAGCCACGTAGAGATGACGAGGTTGTTTACTGTACAACAGAAGCCAGCGGAGTGGGCCAAGGGCGAGAGATCCAGCCTGAGCCCTGGCTGGCGCTGCATCTGCTCATGAGAAGAAAGGAGCGGGACCCTGAGAACCGGCCGGGGAGAGCTTTAGGACAAGCCCTGTGCTACCGACCCCTCTTCTGTGCTGTCACAAACGAGAGGACTGCGAACTGGACGAGCAGGTCCCCAACCCTCCTGGTTCTCCTTTAGCCTGTATTTATCTGGACCAAGAGTGAGCAAAGCCCTGGGACAGGCACAGATCCCCCAGCATGGACCATCATGGCCTTCACAGGGGAGGGGCTGAGGTTGGGCAGTAAGGAAGTGTGCTGGTTACATGTCAGGCAGAGGGGCGCTCGCGCTCTCGGGGACCCACACTTTTTCTTGCCAAAAGAACTCTGAGGACTCGAGTTGTAGCTTGTGGTAGAGGAAAGAAGGAAGGAAAATAGAAAGAAGGAAGGAAGGAAGGAAAGAAAGAAAGAAAGAAAGAAAAAAGAAATTTTTTTTCAGGAGCTCAAATCCAGCCTGGGCAACACGGATCCCATTTTAAAACCAAATAAAACCAGGCTCAGCAACATGACCACAAGGTTCTGTCCTGGTGCAGGCAGGCCCAGCTCACCTTCCCCTGCCATGAAATACAGTGCACTGAGCCCACGGGGGACAGCAACCAGGCTGAGGGATGGGAGGAGTCAGTGTGGGGACAGGCCCATGGAGGCCCCAGTCAATGTCTGACACGCTACAGAGCAGGGCCTTCTCCCTCTCGCTGTCCCCCAGGCAGCCTTGGGAAAACCAACATGCCTCCACCACAGGGTGCCGACTGAAGGCCAGTGATATAAAACAGACTCTCCTGGTTGGAGCCTAGGAAATCTGGAGGAGCACAAAGGCCCCACTGGACAGAGTCCCAATCTGGGGTGTCCTGCCACACCTCTTGGCTTCTCGGCCTCCCACATTTCCACAAAGTCTGCAGAGTTCTTGCATAGTCCTGATCAGAGGCTCCAAGGAAGAAAAGGCAGAGGACGGGCAGGCTACATCAGGCCAGAGGAGACAAAAAAAGGGGAGAAAGGCAGGACTTGAACTTGCCCCTGATAGATGTGCAGGTGGAAAAAGGTGTCCTAGAGTCCCACGTGGCCACTAAGAAGCCACTCACCAGGAGGGAGGCCCCTGTGCCTCAGTTTGGGCTCAGAGCCAGGGCCACCACAGCACCCTCACCCACTGCCCATTGCCCAGCCAGCCCCGGCTGGGGGACCTGAGTGTGGATAGCCCCACCCCACCCCCAGCCCACCCGCTGCCCACCTCCTCAGGTCTGCGAGGTGGCAGGCCCTGCCTGCTCCCTGGGGAGCCTGCCGCCAGGCCTGATGGCGCTGACGGAGGGAGGGAGGCCGCCAAGCTGTCAGTCTGGAGGTGCCCCTCAGAGCCCCTCCTAGCTGGAGCGAGGAGGGTGGGCCAGCTCCGGAGCTGGGCTGTCAGGGCCTTCACAGAGACGAGGCCGGAGAGGCGCTGCCTGACAGCTCGCCCACCGAATTAGGACCATTTGCATGCTAATTTCCAGCGCTCTAACGGGCTGGCAGGCTGGCTGGGGCGAGTGTGCGGAGAGAGGCACGCGGCCTCCCCGCCCGCCTGTGATGGAACAATGCTTGACTGATCTAGCTGCGTTAACGAGCAAATTATGGTAATTTTGTTATTACAAATGCATAGAAATTTCCAAAGCAGGCAGCCATTCAGGGCAGCTCCCTGCTCCTCCCCGCTCCTAAATACGGAGTCCTCTGTTTGTACACAGGAGCCCAGCATGGCTTGGAGGACCTAGGTTTCCAGGGGGCAGGCTTCCCAGGGGGCCATCCCAGGGAGACCCAGCACGAGCTGGTCCAGACCTGGCCACCATCAGGCCATCCATCCCCGTCAGGTGCTGCACCCCCAAACCTCAGCTCTTTTTGTCCCCCAGGATTCTGCCTTGATCCTGCAGCCAAACTCTCACATTAACTGGTTTCTCTCCATCCTGAGCAGGTGACATGGGCAGTTCTCACAGACAGTCCTGGGTGCTGAGAGATCCACCCAGTCATTTCCGTGCCACCACTGTGAACTGGGCTCAGTGAGGGCCAAGTGAAGACTGTCCGCCGGGTGGATGAATGAAAGAGGGAGGGAGTGAAAAGAGAGAAGAAAGGCAGAACACGAAAAAGGGACGAGGAGGGAGGGATGAGGAGGAAGGGAGGGGGCAAAAAAGGAGGAAGGAATAAAACAGGACTGAAAGGAGAAAGGACAGAGGGAAGGAAGGAAAGAAGGACAGCGGAAAGGAGGGAGGAAAAAGAAGCCCAGAATCCAGTTCACACACAAGGACAATCAAGTGGGACCCCAGCCCCTCAGCTCGCTGGCAGTGAAAGTAATCCAGGACTTTACTGGAGGGATTTATTTGCCAGTTTGGCACCGTTTCTGGTGTTTATAGTTGTCCATTGTGGAAATCGCGATTTGTCCCAGTTTTCCTGGTGATCTTCTTGCTGATTGGGAGTGTGATTTGGAATTGTGCTCTGGACTGCATCCAGAGAGGCGCTGTTTCCAAGGGCACCCCCACTCCCCGTAGGGAAGCGCAGCCCAGTCCAGGTGCAGGGCTTGGCACAGAGGTGGCACCATGGCAAAAGCCAGTCCGCCCTCCGGCAGACACTGGGGGTGGGGGTGGGCATGCGGCCGCCCTGGGCCTCCTCCCGGAACGCCGGCAGCCCTCCTCTTTCATGATGGGGATTTCAGGTCAGGCCGATGTTATGGAAAGGTCAAGAAGCTGCCTCAAATCCATTTTGGAAGTCAGTGGGGAATAAATCATCAATTAGGGAGGAAACCAGCAGTGAGGAAGCTCTGCTCCCGGAGCCC